CAAAGTTATCTTGTTCATTTATTTGTTTGCTTGTTGTCTGTCTCTCTCCACTAGCATACAAAGTCCATGAGATCAAGGACTTTGTCCTGTTCACTCCTGTATGCACAGTCCCTTGAAGAGTACCGGATACATCATGGGCGTTTAATAAATAATACATATCCTGGAAGGTGAGATTTGTGTGTGAAATATTAAGCCCACTGGTACAAAGTTGGTGGTCAACAAAAATTTCCTTTCTTATTGGTTGACTAGACTAATCAATTCAGTTTCCTTGTCAGATATCACACACATATCATCTTGGGTGTAGATGATGTTGCGTACTATTATTCTAAAACACATAATAAAGGAATAAGGACAGGATGCAGAATGTTGTTCTCTTTCTGTTCCTTCCAATCCTTTCTGCATTCCTTGCCACCTACTCTTTGTCGCTGGAGGCTGACCTTTATGACTGCTTCAGAAGGTTCCCTTATCCTCTGTCATCTGGCTGTGTTTTCTCAGTGGAATTTACCACCAGGAGGTCAGAAGGTGGGAGAAGAGTGATGTTCTCTTGTCTGAGTTCCTTTACTGAAGGCTTCAAGTTCCTGCTGGACAGCCCTCTCCTATAGTTCTGTCTAGTTGGTGGTTACCTTTGCCTCATACCTGAAGATAGCATATCCCTGTGATTACTCATAATTCTGTCCACACCATTGTAAATCGTCCTTTCATTAAAATCGCCCCAGTCATTGAGGAGTGTTACCCGCCGCCCCCACCCGAACATTGAATGGCCATCTGCTTCCTGGTGGGATGCTTATACTGACAGAATGAGAGGAAAGTAGGCAGAATTACAACACGCCTTCAGCAACACAAAGAAGAGCATGGAGTGACTGGAACAAATTTCTAAGCTAAAATGTCCATGTTCTGTCATCTTTTGTGTCTGTGGATCACCAGCTTCTAAGGTTGGGTCCTCTAGAAGCAGATACTGAGACAGAGTTTGGCTTTTTAAGATGTTTAGTAGGGACCAACACCTATGAAAGGAAAGAGAAAGCAGGATTGGGCAGAGGAAGAAGTCAGCCTTCAGTGCAGGCCCAACCAAGCCTCCTCTGCCAACCCAGCAGGAAGCTCTGGAGTGAGAAATGTCCAGCAGAGTGTCCCAAATGGCCCTGCCTTTTTTTTTTCTTTTTTTTTTAAATTGTGCGTTAAATGAAACTCTACAGTTCAAGTTAGTTTCTCTACAAAACTTTATACACACACTGCTATGTGACTGACCCCGGTTGTATTCCCCATTCTGTGGCAGCACACTCCTCCTTTCCACCTCGGCTTTCCCGTGCCCATTCAACCAGCTCCCTTTCTGCCTTCTTATCTCACCTCTGGACAGGAGCTACCCATTTAGACTCAGGTATCTACTTGAGCTAAGAAGCACACTTTTCATGAGTATTATTTTCTTTCTTATAGTCCAGTCTAATCTTTGAAGAGTTGGCTTTGGGAATGATTTTAGTTTTGGGCTAACAGAGAGTCCGGGGGCCATGTCTTCCAGGGTCCCTCCAGTCTCAGACCATTAAGTCTGGTCTTTTTACTAGAATTTGAGTTCTGCACCCCACTTTTCTCCTACTCTGTCAGGCACTCTCTGTTGTGTTCCCTGTCGGCAGTCATTGGTGGTAGCCAGGTACCATCTAATTCTTCTGGTCTCAGGCTGATGGAGTCTCTGGTTTTTGTGACCCTTTTGTCTTGTGGGCTAATATTTTCCTTGTGTCTTTGATATTCTTCATTCTCCTTTGCTCCAGGTGGGTTGGGACCAATTGTGCATCTTAGATGGCCACTCACTAGCTTTTAAGACACCAAACGTGAAACGGCCCTGCCTTTGAACTTCCTCCTCACTAGATGCAGGCTGTCCTAGGAAGGTGGCTCTTGGCAGCTGAGGCTCATCCTAAAGTAGCTCTCTGCTACTGGAAGCTGTCTGCTAACTGCATTCCCAGCAGCTGGGCAGATAGTCGTAATTTACGGAGGAAACGTGGGGAGTCATCTCCATATCTTCCACACCAGTTTGAATCTCCATCTTTCCGGGGCCTCATCTCTTGTGCACCTGCCTACCGTGGGAACTGTTCCCAAAAGCTGTTCTTGTTCCCCATAGCTAGTGAAAACATCCCAGTTTAATCAGTTCTGCTTATCCTAAGTACTTTCTAATTAAATTTCTCTATCCTATAAATTGCCAGAGTTGCAGGTAGCTGGTTTAATAAAATACATTCCCACTTTAGGAAATCTGAAGTACTGAGAAGACAGTACTATATAGTACCAGAAACAACATTACGAAGCAGTAGAAGTGCAACATTCATGGTTATGTCTTTATATTTTCATGCGAAAAGTTGCTCTGTGCCTTTATCTCTAAGATACTGAAGACTGGCTTTGATGATTCATTCTTTAGCTTCATACAGTAAGTACTCTTACCTCCTGTATGGTTTGTGAAGACTGCTATAGGCCTTCCAAATCAGTATTCTTGGCTGAGTTGTGTTACCATGACACCTTCCTCAGCAGCAGCATTATATTTGAATATTGATACAACACTTAATCTATGAATGGATCCACAATTAGACAACATCTGGCTAAGTTAATGCCATTGTTTTTTATGGTGAAGATTGATACTTTGGCTTCTTCAAATGCTCTTGACTTCTTCACCTACCACCTCTCCACCTGGGTCTGATGGACAGTTAATTAACATTCCAAAACCCAAATAAAACCCACTACCAGTCGCTCATAGCAACCCTATAGAACAGGGTAGGACTGCTCCATAGGATTTCCAAAGCTATAAATCTTTACAGAAGCAGACTGCCACATCTTTCTCCTGAGGAGCAGCTGGTGGGTTTGAACCACTGACTGTGCAGTTAGCAGCTGAGTGCTTAACCTTTACACCACCAGGTCTCCTTTAATTAACATTATGCTACCACATTTTCAGATAGCTTGTTAAATTATATGTAAATAGTGATCTGAATGTAAAGTGAGATCATCTGAGTGCATTAACAAGACAGTGGGAGCACTTCTAGTGTTAACAAATCTTTCAGGGCTAGTATCCTACCAAGAATTTTTCTCCTGTTTTTGGCTCAGATCTTGTTTGGTTCAAATCTTCAAGTCACTCAATAGATAATTTTAAATTTAGCTGGTCTCTTGTCTTTTTTAACTTAGAACATGATTAAATGAATTAGTTCAGAATTTAGCCATAATGTCTTTAATAATGGATACAAAACAGAATAGTTAAGTTCCATTAATTACTAAATATTCTTGGTTTGATATTGGATTTGGTAATGCAAGTTACACAAATAATCCTGTACTACATTTGGAAGCTAGAGAGCTGATCCTTCTTTAAATTCCTTGAGAGCATAATTTACATATTTGCAACAGTATTCAAGAAACTAATCTACACTTTTGTGTATATGTATGTGTACAACTATGCTGTGCTCTGACTTCAAGCCAAATGCCTATAGATCCATATCCTCATCTGCATGCTCTATCGGATACTTTCTAAGGGTGCAAGAATCTTAGACCTGAGAGGCTGTTTTTGGAAACAACAAACAAAAATGTTTTTAGAAGCTTGAAAGCTAAAGTGAGCTCAGGTACTGAATATGTGTTTGTGTCAGGCACTAGAGGGGAGTGTGGTGTCACACAAGTGCTGGGTTCTGACTTGAGGCCAAGAGCTTGCAAACAGATTTTGTGCATGTTAGCAAGCCCAAATACGCTGAAAACGTATAGCAAAGAGAGGCCTAGAAAAATACTTTCCTGAGTTTGAAGTAGGGTAACTGTGGCTTCTGCTATTCTACTGATACCTTGTTTTACACAGAAATTTCCAATATAGGGCTTTGATTCTTTTGAAGTGGCAGTGACATTCAAATGACTTGATTTTAATAGCTTTATTATTATTTTAAAATGATACATGCTTACTGACTTAAGGTCAAACAATATAGAAAAATACGAAGAGGAAAGTGAATATCATCTGAAATCACAGTACACACTTCTGCAGTGTACAGAGCATTCTTTCAGACATCTCTCTCATTCTCTACTTACAGAAACATATATATCTATAATTTTTAAACCATAAAATATAACTGTAGCTGCTGTTTCTGGAACAGTATTGTTGGAGACAGAGTGGACATCTTTTGTGGCAGATGATTTGATTCTTGGTGGCAAAGCACAGTGGTTAAGAGTATAGGAAGTCACTGTGTCTAGGTTTGAATTTTTCTTCACTACTCACTAAGTGACATTGGGCATGTGATTTAACCAGTTTTTCTGTGTCTCAGTTTCCTCATATGAAAAAATGGGGATGATAATATTACCTAGCTCAGAGAGTTGGTGTAAGGGTTAAATGAGATCATACACTTAAGTACTTAACACAGTACCTGAAACATAGTAAGTACTTAATACATTTTAACTATTATTCTTAAGGAAATACAAGTTTCAACTTCATAGTAACACTGAAGGGTTTTTTGATATGAAAATGGAAAGCTTTCTCAAATGACTTTCATCATGGTATTTCAAACACTGCTTTTAACATAAATTATCACTGTTTCTACATATAACTATATACTTTCTCCACTGATCCTGGTATTTGCATGCAGCAGATACTTGGTTTGTACTTGTTGACTGATCTTCCTAAGACTTCAGTAGGAAGAGATTACCTTTTCGTGGAAGCCTGTATAAGAACTATCCTATTTACGCAAGGTGCCTTTAAGTGAGACAGTTTTACGTGGGCCACTTTTATAAAGACATTAGTCCAACTAACCATCTCTGTTAATTATTAAACCCTTATGTGTTATCTGGATACCTGACACTGCAGACTGAGAACAGAGGGTGTTTGTCTCTCAAGTTAACACTAAAAACAGAAAAAAATATAGTTATCAAGGAATTAAAAAAAAAAAACTTCATTTTTTTTTTCTCTTCTATTTAGTGAAGAGACTAGGCTATCTTTTGTTTTGGCTGGCATATCTACAACTAAACAATCAATTTAAACCTCATTTTGGATTCCTGGTTGTTCGTTTTAGCATGGCGAATCTTGGAGTTCACAGAATCCTTCTTTTGGTTATTTATTTGACAAAGAGTCTGGAGAGTACAAAACTGTTGGCAGACCTTAAAAAATGTGGCGACTTGGAATGTGAAAGTAAGTTTGCTTTTTTCTTTTCTTTTCCTCTTAAATCGAGGCTCTGAAATGACATATAGTGTAATTGTGCATGTGCGTGGTAAGAATGAACATTAATATCATTGAAGAATATTTGTAGTTATAAAGTATAGCTTGGTATAAAAAGAAAATGCTGGAAGCAAGGCATTTTGTGATAGTATTTAATGTAAATATACAAATGGGTAAACATTAGTCTGACATATAAATATACCAGCAATTTTATTGATATTAGTTCATGTGTCAAAAACAAATTAATTAGCCCTGTTACTGTTTTTTAAGATAAATATAATCAATTGGTATGAATAGGCTATTGATAGTGCTTTATTTATAAAGTCCGTATATTATTTAGTTTCTATTTCACAATCAGAATTTTCCTGTTACCAAAAAATGTTTTTGTTTCAAACCATCATGATTTATTCTGTCTAAAATTTAGCATACAGTAATCATTTCTGTATTCATTTATTTTGTAAAAATATTGAAATCAGTATAGTTATTGTTGTTTGCTGCCTAGTCGATTCCAACTCATAGCAGCTCTATTGGACAGAGTGGAATTGCCCCATAGGGTTTCCTAGGCTGAAATCTATATAGAAGCAGATCTCTAGGTCTTTTCTCCCACAGAGTTGCTGGTGGGTTTGAACCGCCAAGCTCTCTGTTAGCAGCTGAGTGCTTAGCCGTTGTACCACCAGGGCCCCTTGAAATCAGTGTTAGGAATATATATTTTTATTTTATTTATTTATTTTTATTGTACTTTAGTTGAAGGTTTACAGAGCAAATTAGTTTCTCATTAAACAATTAATAACATATTGTTTTGTGACATTGGTTGCCAACCCCATGACATGTCAACATTCTCCCCTTCTCGACCTTTGGTTCCTCATGACCAGCTTTCCTGTCCCCTCCTGCCTTCTCATCCTTGCCCCTGGGCTGGTGTGCCTATTTAGTCTCATTTTGTTTTATGGGCCTGTTTAATCTTTGGCTGAATGGTGAACCTCAGGACTAACTTCAGTAGTGAGTTAAAAGGGTGTGTGGGGGCCATACTCTCGGGGTTTCTCCAGTCTCTGTCAGACTTACCAGTAAGTCTGGTCTTTTTTTATTTGTGAGTTAGAATTTTGTTCTGTATTTTTCTCCAGCTCTGTCTGGGACCCTCTGTTGTGATCCCTATCAGAGTAGTTGGTGGTGGTAGCTGGGCGCCATCTAGTTATGCCAGAGTTAGTCTGGTGGAGGCTGTGGTAGCTGTGGTCCATTAGTCCTTTGGGCTGTTCTTTCCCTTGTGTCTTTGATTTTCTTCATTCTCCTTTGCTCCAGATGGGGTAGGACCAGTGGACTATCTTAGATGACCACTCACAAGCTTTTAAGATCCCAGATGCTACTCACCAAAGTAGGATGTAGAACATTTTCTGTATAAACTGTGTTATGCCATTTGAGTTAGATGTCCCCTGACACCATGGTACCCAGCCCTCACTCAGTGCAGTAATTCGGTCCCTTAAGAAGGAATATATATTTTTAGTAGCATTATGACATAAAATAAATTGCATCCCAATATATTAGAGTTGCTTTAAATAAGTTATCTCTCCAGTATGTAAGAATTATTTCTAATGTGTAACATGTAATTTAAAAATGTAACATATTATTAGTATAATAAATATAAATAACTTATAAGTAAAATTTTTATAACTAAGATTGTCCTTAACCCTTTTGTTATGATTTAACATAGAGAAAAGTTTACTAGGCAATGTTTTATAATAATCATCTTTCTTTTCTTGTTTATATTACAACTTCATTTTATCCTTAGGGCCAGGCACAGAACTTGAAAAAGGAATATTCAAATTTGTGATAATTTATAATGTTGTTTTTGTTTTAATTGTGTGACTTTATAAAAATATATTTTACACATAATTATAATAGTTAATAAGATATGTATATTACTTTACATGTTGAAGGGCTAAATCTAGCATATTTGGTTATGGTTCTTTCATGGTTATTGAGGTTCTACTATGTGCTGGGGTTGAAGATGGGTGGTATGCATCTAAGATGAATAAAATGCAAAGTGAAGTAAGCGTCTTGCCCTCCAGGAGTTTTCCTTCTAGGGGATGGTGACAAGACAGGACAATATGAAATAGTTAAATCGTGATACAATGTAGTAAGAATAATAGGTAATATTGACGTTCAGAGAAAGGACAATCAGAATAGGCTGGAAGGATGAGGGGTGTCTTATAGAGAAAGTAGGATTTGAGTGGTCCATGAAGAGTGGCTGAAGTGTTTCTAGGCTTACGAAAGAGCAGAAATAAGCACCCAGAATAAGGAAAGTGAATGTTGCAGTGGAAAGAATCTCAGTGCAAATCTGGCTACACAATTCATCAGCTTTGTGAACAATTCTCTGTGCCTTAGTTAAAGGCTTATTTGTTAGACTGAGATGAGATTATTTATCTTAGAGGCCTGTTTTGAGGATTTAATAAAATACAAAATTTGAAAGAGCTTATCAGAATACAGTAGGTACCAGGAAGCAAACTAATCATCTTTTCCTTCCCTTCCATACAAACTGGAGGATGATTATGGCATATTTCAGGGATGATGGATAGACGGGCCTGAGTGTAGCCCTGAGCTGTGTAAAGGAGTAGGAGGAGGTACTTTTAGATAGGGAAGGTGGAGCTGGGTTATGGACAGCATTAGATACCAACCCAGAGAGCTTAGACTTGATTCTGTGTGTGGTGGGAAGTCTATGTAGGTTTTTAAGGCCATAAATGACATAAGGAAATTAGCATTCGGAAATATATATGGTGGATTGGAGGAGATAAAGACGGGAGGAAGAGAAGTGACATTTTAATTTGAAGTGTGTATTTTTCTTTACTTGTTTACATAGCTTTAATGAGCAGAGCCTTAGCCATGAGAGATTACAGAGGACCTGACTGCCGATACCTGAACTTCACTAAAGGAGAAGAGATATCTGTTTATGTTAAGCTCGCAGGAGAAAGGGAAGATTTGTGGGCAGGAAGTGTAAGTATCTAGTTTTAAAAACTGAATGCAGAATAAATGACCAGCTTGCACAAGGATACCTGCTTTTCATCTCTAAAGGAACTTTAAGAATCTCAAAGCACTGTATAAATTTTAAAAAACCTTAACATATTTAAACAAACAAAAATTGGTTATGTTCATTGGTGGTTCCAGAATTTCTATAATAGAGGCATTTGGGGAAGCAGTCTGGTTGGGCCAGACTAAGAGAATGCCAAGAAATTAATTTTTATATAGCATGCATACTTCTTAAATTTAGATTTTGTATATATTTGGAATTAAGGGTGCTAATGGAGGTTATGGGATGGCTAGGCAACCCCAGCCGTCCCTTGGTGCTGCCAGTGGTCAAATATAGGGGAGAATGAGAAATTTTAGTTAATTGGTTTAAACAATATGCCTTTCTGAGCAAATAAAGGGCTGAGTTGTTACCGAAGTGATCCTCAGAAAGGTTAGTAGCCTAGGAAGCTGGTGTATGAATCTTCCATAGAAAACAATAACAACTGGGAAAGGCTTTTATTTACCCCAAAGTCCTAGTATGTTGAAATTCTTGGAAGCCTGAATCATGTGAATATATAACACAGGAAAATTAATGATTAATGTTTTCAATTGGAAATAGGTTTGTATCTCTAATTGTATCATTATGTATTATAATGAAAAGATGCTGTGATAAATGATATTACTCCCCAGCTGAACAAGCATGACCAAACTGATACATACATCATTCCATATTGCGTGTCAGGTCTCTCCCTTGTGTACCTACTGTGGTCACTGTTTGAAAGAGCAGATTCTATTTGAAATCCTGCTTTTTCCCATTAGAGCTGTGTGACTTCTGACTGTCGCTGGCCGGAACCCCTTGAGCTCCTGACTTCCTGACTGCTCAGAGGTGCCTTACATATGCCAGTCTATGTCCTGAATGCCTGGAGGTGCCCAATGCAGTTATAAGAAAAATGACACAGTTGGTGTCATTTGAGGCGAAGGAAACATTCTTCCTTATTTACTTTGTTTGAAAATTATAGTTCTATACAAAAGCAGGGGTTAAATTGTGTAGCCAGGGTGAAGTTTCATTTTGGGGCATTAGATGTTTAGTCCATGCAGGTAGGAACTAACCTGTGGAGCCTACCCCCAGGCTGTTTCCAAATAGTTGCAGCAACTGGAAAGCTGAAAGAAACACACGTGAGGTATAATAATTCTGGTCCAGAGGACCAAAAGAATATGTTCTTTAAACTTTGACAGGAACAGGAAATGGGCTAAGAGTGACTGTGTGAAGGCTTTGCTCTCAGAGGACGTCCTACACGTACTTAAATGGAAGATTTCTGTCACCAAGTTTGTTGCAGAAAAATTGAATGGAGCCAAATTCTCCCTGAAGGGCTTGTGGACTTTTACCATCCTGATGAATCCACCCATGGCCCATTTAGAATTTAAGTCTCTTACCTGCTTGACACCCTGAAAATGCTAAACATTTGATACCTCCGTTTAGCTTGGCTACTGCCACCTTTGCCTTTTTTAAAAATTTTGTTATGTTTTAGGTGAAAGTTTACAGCTCAAGTTAGTTTCTCATTCAAAAGCCTGTACACATACAGTTTTGTGACGTTGGTTGCAATCCCCACGATGTGACAGCACTCTCCCGCTTTCCACCTTGGGTTCCCTGTGTCCATTCGCACAATTCCTGCCCCTTCCTGCCTTCTCATCTTGCTTTCAGGCAGGAGTTTCCCATTTGGTCTCGTATATTTAATTGAACTAAGAAGCATGTTCCTAACTTGCGTTATTGTTTACTTTGTAGGCCTGTCTAATCTTTGTCTGACAAGTGGACTTCAGGTGTGGTTTCAGCTCTGAGCTAACAGTGTCCGGGAACTGCCTTGCCTTTTGATATCTACTAGGTCTACCAGTGCACATCTATGGTGCACCTGGGCAAGGAAGATCATTAAAAGACAGCAAAAGGAAGAAAATGAGTATGTGTGAAGGTTTTCCTTCTGAAGTCTAAAAAAGTGCCATTGTACAGCTTGGCTCTTTATTTTCTTAAATTAATTGCTGTCCTTTTGAATAACGAAAGGAATATGACTTCACTCACTTTCTTTTAGAGGGCAATTGAAAACCAGTTAATATTTGTGATTTGAAGTAAACGAAAGCCAAGGACATGGGACAAAAATTAGACTCAGTAGGCATTGTTGCTTTGATCACTCTTCCTCGATAATCTTTGTTCTCCATTTTGATAGATAGGAAAGGACTTTGGATATTTTCCCAGAGATGCAGTCCAGATTGAAGAGGTGTTCATATCTGAGGAAGTTCAATTATCAACTAAAGTGAGTAAACTCATTCTCGGTTATTATTTTAACTTAAAATTTCTTGAGTAAGACGAAGTTGATGACAGGCAAAGATTTTGCTTTCTGAACAATTAACAGACAGACAGTAGAGTATAGTGGATAAGAACAAGGATTCTAGAGATGGACTGAGTTCAAGGCCTGACTCAGCCACTTACTAGTTATATGGCCTTGTGTGCCTCAGTTTCCTCATCTGTAAAATTAGGATGATGATCATATATAGTGCTACGTCATAAATTTATTGAGGAATAAGTAAGTAAATATATGTAATGTGCATACAGCAGCACATCTAAGTGTTGGATATTATTACTAATATTTTTGTCCTATTGGGACCAAATTTTATTTTCCACCACATTCCCTGGGTATCTTCTGAGCAACCGTTTCTGCTGTTTGAGTTTTTAATGAACTTGATAATGTTAAGCTTGTTAATGCCGAACTTGATAGTGAAAAAGGGAATCAGAAGGGGACTTTTCACTATGTGAACTTGATTAACCTATTTAATTCAGACTCCAGGTTAAGCCAATTTACCTTAAATGCGGTCAGTGTGAAGTAATTCTGCCTAGTTGAGCAAATATTATCTGACTGTTTTCCAACACAAACTCAAGGATTAACCATCCATTTACTGTATAATAATTGGTCCCGTCAGTTTTATCTCTGAAATATATCTGGAGTATATTGTCTTCTTTCCATTTTCACTCTCACCAGCGCCCTAACGCAAGGCACTATCATCTCTTGATTAGAATACTACAGTAGTAGCCTTCTAAATGGTCTCCTTGCCTCAGTGTTGCCCTACTCCAGTCCATTCTCCAAACAGCAACAGATCTTGTAAAAACAAAAACAGAAAATCAGATCATGTCATCCCCTTGGTTAAAGTGTTTTAATGGAATAAAACCCAGACTCCTTACCCTGGCCTCACAGGTCTCACATGATCTGCCCATGCTCCCCTTGCTGACCCAGTCTTGTGCCACTCTCCCCTCACTCACTACACTCCCAGGCACATTGGCCTTTTGACTGTTCTTAGAACATGCCAAGCTCTTTCCCAGCCCAGAGACTCAAACAGGCTGTTCCCCCTAGTTGGAATGGTTTCTCTAAGTTCTTCACTTAGCTAGTCCGTTCTTATCCTTTAGGTCATGGCTTAAACATCACTGTCTTAGATAGCCGTCCATGATGATTCTAACATAATTATTGCATCTTATTCATTCATTTATTTATTTTATTGTGATTTAGGTGAAAGTTTATGGAGCAAATTATTTTCTCATTAAACAGTGTCATGGATTGAATTATGTCCCCCCAAAAATGTGTGTATTAATTTGGCTGGGCCATGATTCCCGGTATTGTGTGATTTTCCTACATGTTGTAAATCCTGCCTCTATGATGTTAATAAGGGAAGATGGGTGGCAGTTGTGTTAGTGAGACAGGACTCAATCTACAAGATTGGATTATATCTTGAGGCAATCTTTTGAGATATAAAAGAGAGAAGGGAGCAGAGAGACAGAGGTACCTCATACCACCAAGAAAGCAGTGCCAGGAGCAGAGCATGTCCTTTGGCCCTGGGGTCCCTGCGCAGAGAAGCTCCTAGTCCAGGGGAAGATTGATGAGAAGGCCGACAGAGAGAGAAAGCCTTCTCCTGGAGCCGACACCCTGAATTTAGACTTTTACCTACTTTACTATGGAGAAATAAACTTATCTTTGTTAAAGCCATCCACTTGTGGTATTTCTGTTATAGCAGCACTAGATAACCAAGACAAACAGTTAATACACGAATTGTTTTGTGACATTGGTTGCCAACCCTGTGATGTATCCACACACTCCCCTTCACCACCCCAGGTTCCCTGTTTCCATTCGTCCAGTTTCCCTGTCCCTTCCTGCCTTCTCATCTTTGTTTTCAGGCTAGTGTGCCCATTCGTCTCATATTCATGATTGAACTATGAAGCATGTCCCTTACATATGTTAATGTTGGCTCTATAGACCTGTCTAATCTTTGGCTGAAGGGTGAACCTCAGGAGTGATTTTAGTACCGAGTTAAAAGGATATTCGGGAGCCATACTCTTGGGGTTTCTCCAGTCTCTATCACACCAGCAAGCCTGGTGGGCCTTTTC